CCAGCTTCCAGGGGAATTTTGCAAGGTGTGTGTATAAACCAGCAGTTTAGACATTAATGGCTGTGTGTTGAGTTGTTTGGAGGGGACAGCAAGTTTACACTGTTACACAAGCTGTACACTCACTACTTTACATTGTAGCAAAGTGTCATTTCTTCAGTGTTGTCACATGTAGATATAACATATTTACAAAAATGTGAGGAGTGTACTCACTTCTGTGAGATACTGTGTATGTATGTGTGTGAATATATACACATACATACACACTTTAATTTATAGGCAATGTTCAGCATAAATGAGTACATCCCAACAGGTTTGTCAGAAAATGTTTACTTTTCTTTCAGAATCAACAATTTCTATGGGACACTATAATGCAAAATACGCCTACAACTGCGAGCCATTGATCGCAAACAAGATTTGTTAATTCGCACACACAAAATATTATTTTTCCTAACATTCATTCAAGACCATGTTGCGCACTCTACCCAATACAAAATCACGTGTGTATATGTACATGATTTTGCGCAGCAGAATCAAAAGCAGTAGTTCTGCTATAGGGCGGTCGGGAAGTGGTTATCAAAGAAAACCGCTTTCCATGTCATGCAGTCAGCAATGGCACCACATAGAAAAGAAATGTCACAAGGCCTGAGAGAGAGAAAATAATTTCTTAACACAAAGGTGAAGGCTACAAGAAGATCAGCAAAGCTTTACTTATCAGTCAGAATACTGTAGGAAAAGTGATACAAAAATCTAACAAAGATGGAACTGCAACCATCTCACAGTGACATCCGGGCTGCCTATGGAAGTTAACACCTTGGCAGGAACGTCTTCTGATGAGAAGGGTTGAAAAAAAATTGCCATGCAGTTAGATAAAGAAGTAGAAAGCCAAACTGGGGTGATTGTTTCCTGTGACACAGTATGGTGTACACTGCAGAGGAATGGCATGCATGGGTGTCATTCACAAAGGAAGTCTCTCCTAAAGCCCATGCTCAAAAAAAGTCCTCCTAGAATTTGCCAGGGCCCGTGCTGAAAGAAAAGACTACTGGGACTCTTTACTCTGGAGTGATGACAGTTTCAAAACTGTATAGCATCGCAAAGGTGAGGGGTACAAAGAAAAATGCATGGTGCCTACAGTGAAACATGGTGGTGGCAGTGTCCTTCTGTGGGGCTGCTTGAATGCTGCTGGTTTTGGGGAGCTGCATTTCATTGATGGTATCATGAATTCACAGATGTACTGCTCTATTTTGAAATCAGATGCTACGATCACTCCATGCCCTTGGTTGCCGTACACCTTTCCAACATAACAATGATCCAAAATACTCATCTAAGGCCACTGTTGCATTTCTGAAGAACAGTGATTCAGTGACCAGGTATCTCTCCTGATATGAACCCATTTGAACAACTCTGGGGAATTCTAAAGAGACCAGTTGAGCATCACTCTCCATCCAGCATCCAGGCTCTAAAAAGAGGTTGATCTTGAAGAATGGAAAAAGATAGATGTTGCAGTATGTCACCAACTTGTTCATTCCAGGCCTAGAAGACTTGTTGCTGTCCTTACAAATCATGGAGGTCATACAAAATACTAGATGTAGTTGTGGGGTGTATTCATTTTTGCATCAAATAATTTGAGTAAAACTGAAGATTTTATAATCTAAGTTATATTATTTAGCTTCCTTTCATGTAATGAGCTAAACACATGTTCTATAAAACTCAGTTTTGTCAAAATTTTGGAAATTGTTTGTGTTAATTGAGATATTGATTACCCACATCCTCACCACCCTATAGCAGATATACTGCTACAGGGCAGCAAGGGTGCGCAAAATCATGTGGTGTATATATGTATGTGATTTTGTATTTCCGGGTAGGAGCGTGCATGCCCTACCCGCACAGCCCTTTGCGGCCGTCAGTCACTGGGTCCCATCCGGTGATTACCTGCTGGCACCTGGTGATTATCGAGGATCTCTGACGGGGAGGAGGGCTGCTTTTGTTTACTTACAGTCCTCCTCCCTGTTGGCTCGGGCACACTGCTCTGGATGGTTGTCCATCCAGAGCAGTGTGATTACAGTAAAGCCCCCAACACACTGCCCCCCCAGTAAAACACTACTCCCAGCACACAGTTAACCATTTGATCGCCCCTCATGTTAACCTCTTTCTGCCCAGTGCCATTAGTACAGTATCAGTGCTTTTTTTTTTTTTTTTTTTCTCTCATTCTTTAGCACTGATCACTGTATTGGTGTCTCCTCGGCGGATGTTAGTGACACCAAGTCAGTTCCCTCCAGTGGCAGAATGCCCACCATAAGTTGCTTATCGCCGCCATTATTAGTGAAAAAAAAAATATACCGCCATTTGTAAACGCTATAACTTTCATGTAAACCAATTAATTTACACATATTGGGATTTTTTTTTTTTTTTTTTTTAGCAAAGACATACAGATATGGCAGAATACATGGCAGAATACATTTTTGCCTAATTTGATGTTTTACATTTTTTTACTGGACATAGTTTAATAGCAAAAAGTCATAAATAGTTTTTCCTCAAAATTGTCTTTTAAAGCGCAAAAAATTAAAACCGCACAGGCGATCAAATACCACAGAAAGAAAGCTCAATTCATTGGCAAAAAAAGGATGTAAATTTCATCTGTTTGCAGCGTTGCATGATCGTGCAATTGTCCGTTAAAGTAATGCAGCGCCTTAATGCAAAAATGGCCTGGTCAGGAGGGGGGTAAATCCTCAGGAGGGCAAGTGGTTAAGATCTTAATTTTCAAGAGGGGTGTACTCATTTTATGCTGAGCAATCTCTCCCTCCCTCTCACTATAAGTCAGAACAGAATGCCACAATCGTAAAACACAACAAGGCAACAAGTAAACAAATGAAATGACCCCTGTTAAACCTTTAGTTCTCAATACTATGTATTGCCCCTTTTAGCATCAATGACAGGGTGCAGTCTTTTGTAATAATTGTCTTACTTGTCCCCAAATTCTTGCAGGTGGTATAGCTGCCCATTTGTCTTGACAAAATGCCTCCAGGTCATGCAAAGTCTTTAGTCATCTTGCATGAACCTCACTTTTTTTAGATCTCGCCAGAGTTGCTTGATATTAAGATCAGAAGACTGTGATGGCCACTCCCAGAACCTTCACTTATTTTTGCTGTAACTTTTTGATGTTTGACCTGGCCTTGTAGTCGTTATTTTGCTGGAAAGTCCAAGAACATCCCATGAGCGGCTTTTGTGAAGAATGCAAATTGCCAGTATTTTTTTTTTTATAAACATGCTGCATTAATTTTAAATGTAAATATTACTTGAGAGCCACTTAATATAATCAGATAAGGTTCGCTGACATAAAACACATCCTCATATCGTGTGCATACCAAAAATATTTTTCAATAAATGTTGCGCTCCTATTTGTTATCAATTATTACCAATATAGTGATTAAACAACGATCAGAATATATGATTTAGAGCAAATTCATAACAAAGATAAATGACAAATATTAAAATAAAAAAAAACAAAGTCTCTGATAACTTATTAGCGATAGTCCCAAAATATAATGTGATCCAAAAACAATTGTGAAAGTGAATAAAAATTATATGAAAGCCTCTATTGATATAAAAGGGATCAAAAATAAGTGATTGTGATTCCCAGTGACTCCTTATTGTGATTAGGTTATGTGCTTACCTCCTTTTCAGCCTGTTACAGGTTTACTTCGCTTTTTGTTCATATATGGAACTTTAGATATTCTGTTGCACCATGTGAAGAGTGGTGTGTATCCCTTAATTGCTTCCCAATGCTCTTATCCCCCTTGCCACTATCCCCGCAGGGATCTTTCACTCCTTCTCCTTATCTCCTCCTTAGATGTTCCTCAGTAGGAAAAAAAATACAGGCATAGTGCCTTATCCTTTTAAAGACTAAAATGCTTTATTGTGTGCCCAAATGCACTCACATTAAGTATGATAAGAAACCGCTTTGTTTAAAATCAACTGCAGATTACTGTGCGCGCCGCACACATAGTATACTCGCTGTCCACGGGTGTGTAGTGACGTCGTAGTTCCTCCCCTACATCTAAGGAGGAGAGAAGGAGTGAAAGATCCCTGCGGGGATAGTGGCAAGGAGGATAAGAGCATTGGGAAGCAATTAAGGGATACCCACCACTCTTCACATGGTGCAACAGGATATTTATAGTTCCATATATGAACAAAAAGCGAAGTAAGCCTGTAACAGGCTGAAAAGGAGGTAAGCGCATAGCCTAATCACAATGAGTCACTGGGAATCGCAATCACTTATTTTTGATCACTTTTATATCAATAGAGAATTTTTCATATCACTTTTATTCACTTTCACAATTGTTTTTGGATCACATATTTTATGGTGCATTCTTTTTGCCATGAATTTGCACAAAATGCCCTGTTCCTTTTTAGAGTGCACACCCCACAACATCATTGAGCCATCACCATGCTTCAAAGTGGGGATGGTATTCTTGTCGCTGTGGACCTTCTCCAAACAGCGCTTATGGTTGTGAACATAAAGCTCTGTTTTAGTGTCGTCACTACAGATGCAAGAAGTGTGCCAAGGTGTTGAGTATATTGTAACCAAGGTTTTTTGTGGTATTGGCGCAGTAAAGGTTTCTTTCTAACAGCTGGACCATGCAGCTCATTTTCGTTCAAGTATCGTGGTATTGTGCTCCTTGAACGAACCACACAGTCCTTTTCCAGAGCAGTCTTTAGGTTACCTGTGGGTTTTTTTTGTATTCTGAACAATTCTTCTGCCAATTGTGGCTGCAATCTTTCTTGGTCTACCTGACCTTAGCTTGGTATCAAGAGCTCCCCGAATTTGCCACTTAACTAGTTGCCGACCGCAGATAGCCGAATGACGGCTGCACTGCGGCCGGCCAGTTCTGGGTGGACGTCATATGACGTCCTCCCAGAACGCGCTCTGGGGCGCGCGCACCCGGCGATCTCCGTGATCGCTGTGTCCTACGGACACAGCTGATCACGTGATGTGGTAAAAGGCCAATCACAGCGGCCTTTTACCACGTGATCAGCGGTGTCCAATGACACGCTGATCACAGGGAAATGCAAGTGCCGGTTCTCGGCTGCACTTTCCTCACGCTGTCAGATCGTGAGGAAAGTACTGCCGAGAACCGGCAGTTGTCAGAGCAGGGATTGGCACCGATCATCAGGGCACTGATGATCAGTGCCCTGATGATAGGTGCCCAGCAGTGCCACCCGCAAGTTCCGCCCACCTGTGCCCAGCAGTGCGCCCACTAGCTCCGCCCACCTGTGCCCAGCAGATCACCTGTGCCACTCTGCAGTGTCACCTGTGCCCACCAGTGCCACCCACCTGTGCCCACCAGTGCCACCCACCTGTGCCCACCAGTGCCACCCACCAGTGCCACCCACCAGTGCAGCCCAGCAGTGCTGCCAGTCAGTGCCACCAGTCAGTGCCCAGCGGTTGTGCCAGTCAGTGCCACCAGTCAGTGCCCTGCAGTGATGCCAGTCAGTGCCCTCTATCAGTACCCATCATCAGTGTCACCTATCAGTGCCGCCTATCAGTGCTGCATATTAGTGCCGCCTATCCGTGACACCTCATTAGTGCTGTCTATCAGTGCCGCCTATCCGTGCCACTCTCAGTACTGCCTATCAGTGCCCTTTAGTGCTGCCTATCAGTGCCCATCAGTGCTGCCTCATCAACGCACATCAGTGAAGGAGAAAAATTACCTGTTTGAAAAATTTTATAATGGAAACAAAGAAACTTTTTTTTTTCAAATTTTCTGCACTTTTTTTATTTATAGCGCAAAAAGTAAAGCGCCCAGTGGCGATTAAATACCACCAAAAGAAAGCTCTATTTGTGAGAAAAAAATGATCAAAATTTCATATGGGTACAATGTTGCATGACCGCGCAATTGTCAATCAAAGTGCGGCAGCGCTGAAAGCTGAAAATCGGCCTGGTAAATAAGGGGGTATAAGTGCCCGGTAGGCAAGTGGTTAAAAGTGCTTGAACAGTAGTGACTGGCATATTTAACTGACATCTTTATAAAATTCCATTACCTTGTTACGCAGGTCTTTTAGCAGTTCATTTCTGCTCCCCATGGCTCAGTATCTAGCCTGCTCAGTACATCCACATGAGAGCTAGCAAATTCATTTACTATTTATACACAGACAATAATTGCAATTTAAAAAGCCACAGATGTGGGAAATTAATCTTTTAATTGCTATTTTAACCTGAGTGTCACTTTGTCTGTATCAAGGCCAAACCTTCCAGGGTATGTAAACTTTTGATCAGCGCCATTTGGGCGATTTCTGTTATCATGCTTTAAAAATAGGAGCCAAACAATGATAAAGGACTTCATATGATCACTATCCTTAAATGAAAGACCGTTTTTTTTTTCAGCATGATCAGTCATATTTTCAATATCAATGCCAAAATGTCATGATTTTTGCCAGGGTATGCAAACTTTTGAGCACAACTGTGTGTGTTTTATATTATATTTATAAATAAATAAATATTGGACCAGTGTAACTGTATAAAATACCCATTCCTGGAGTTATTCGTTAGTTTTATTTAAATTATCACTTTCTCTGTAGGAAAATAAACTTGATTTATAGTGTCAATTTAAATGTATAAACACTTCAGTTATTGAATATAAATAAAAATTTTTTTACTTAAATGTATCTAAGATGTCCTGCGAATAACTTTTAACGTAACATGTAATTAAAAAGAAAAAAACAAATTGCATATATGCTGCAATTCCCAGTTTCTTCTTTTTTTTTTTTTTTTAAGTCAGTGTATATTATCATTATACCTTACTATACGTTATGAGATCCCCATCTGCATTCTTGTTTTATGCCTGTTTCTACAATTAATTCTGTTCAATAAAAGTGATGAGTCATGTGCCAGAGCAAGAGAACACACCCCTGGCATCTCTTTAGAGCATGTTTCTTCCTGCTAATCCTGGATGTGTAGACTTTAACCTTGCTGATCAGTTGCTAGATCACTGTTCCAGAAGCAGGTCTGACAGAATGTAATAAAGAATCTGAACGGGTAGACTGCATAGTTAAAGTCTATACGTTTTATAGTGGTCAGCCGCTTCCATGGAACATTCACACTTAAAGGTGCATGGGGATATGTTCTTTCACTCTGGCTCTGACAGAACAGCAGTAGAGTGAGTGGGGACACTGAAAGAGGAACCATGAAAGATGCAGTTTTGCAACCAGCAGGAAGCTGATTTATCACCTCCCCCTTTTAAATGGTTAATAAAAAAAAATAAAATAAACAGTGCTGCATTGCTAGTACACAAAATATACCAATATTTGTGAAAAAATACACAATCTATTTCAATATCTCCAAAGCAATATTATCCCTCTCATGTAATCAGGATTAGTAAAAACCCTGCTGCCCCGCTAACATTTTGTTGAAAAACCTAAATAATTCACAAGTTACAAACAAGCAGGATTACATCAACCTCTATGTGATAAGAGACAGATGTAGTAAAAACACTACTGCTAATTCCTGACATCCTTGGACAGCTCTTTGGTCTTTGCCATGGTGGAGATTTTGGAATCTGATTTTTTTCGATTGGTCCCTTTAAGTTACTGCTTCTAATCTCAGCTTGTTACCTGTATGAAAGACACCTGGTAGCCAGAAATCCTGCTGAATGATAGGGGATCAAATACATATTTCCCTTATGAATATGCAAATCAGTGCATCATTTGTTAGACATGCATTTCTTTAGAATTTTTGGTTATTATTCTGTCTCTCAGTGTTACAATACACCTACCATTCGATTTTTAGACTGATCATTTCTTTGTGAGTGGGCAAACATTCAAAATCAGCAGGGGATCAAATACTTATTTCCTTCACTGTATATGAATAGATAAATGTGAAAACAGTGCTTATCTCATGTATATTCCAAAAACCGTAATTAATATAAAATCAGTAAATAATAAATTGATAAGAATGAATGTATGACTAATAGAAGATGTGCATAAATTCCCAAAAAGGTGAATAAAAGTCAAGTATTAAAGTGCTAACCTCAATTTCAGCAAAAAAAAAAAAAAACTCTTTAAAGCAGAGCTCCACCGAAAAGGGGAAGTTCCACTTAAAGACTGGTCCCCCACTCCGCTTTAAGGATTGGCACCTTTGAGGAGCAGGTAGCTGAAATTAACAGGTACTCGCTCCCACTTCCACTCCGATTGCCGAGGCGATCGGAAGTTGTCCTCCTACCCTCCCTCCTCGTAGTCTTCTGGGACACGCGAGAAGTCCCAGAAGACTACGGGGCCATTCAGGAAGCGCAGCTCTACTCACGCATGCGCAGTGGGCACCCACTGAAGTCGCAAGCTCTCACACAGCCGGGTGCCCACACTGAAGATGCTGGCACCTGCAAAAGCAGATGGCTGATGAAACAGGCTGTGGGGAGGCACAGCGGGATCGTGGGACAGGTAAGTGGCTGTTTTTTTAAAAGTCAGCAGCTACAGTTTTTGTAGCTGCTGACTTATTTTTTCACAGTGCAACTGGAACTCCGCTTTAAGTAGTGGTGCATATAAATCAACCGTGGATCCTGATCCAATCATACTGTGTGATTCCATCACCACCAACAGTGCGGGCTTACCTTGCTGTTAGACCTACAGTACTGTGAAAAAGTCTTAAACAGGTGTGAAAAAATGCTGTAGATTAAGAATGCTTTCAGAAATAGAAGTGTTTACTTTCCATTTTGTCAGCTGATAAAAATAAAACTAAATGAACAGAAGAGAATCCAAATAAATATTTGGTGTGATCACCCTTTGCCTTCAAAACCGCATCAATTCTTCAATTAATCTAGGTACACTTGCACACAGTTTTCAAAGTAAGGTTGGTAGGTTGTTTCAGACATCTTGAAAAACTAACCACAGATCTTCTGTGGATATAGGCTGCCTCAAATCCTTCTGTCTCTTCATGTAATCCCAGACAGACTGGATGAGGTTGGGATCAGGGCTCTATGGGAGCCAGACCATCACTTCCAGGATGTCTTGGGGTTTTTTTTTCTTTTCTTTACACTGAAGATAGTTCTTAATGACACTGGCTGCATGTTTGGGGTTGTTGTCCTGCTGCAGAATACATTTGCGGGCAATCACATGCCTCCCTGATGGTATGTTATTATGGTTAGTATCAGCCTGTATTACTCAGCACTGAGGACACCATTGATCCTGACCAAATCTTTTCTGATTTCTCTTCTGTTTATATGTATCAATTAACAGAATGAAAAGTAAATAAACTATGAACTCTTCTATTTCTGAAAGCATTCTTAACTGCTTGCCCAGCGCCCTACAGCAGAAATACTGCTACAGGCACGGCTGTGCATATATGTGATTTTGCATTTCCGGGTAGGGGGCGCGCGCGCCACCATTGGCGGCTTCAGCTGTCGTTCACTGGATCATGGCTGGTGATTCCCCACCGGCGAACGCCAAGTATCACTGACGGGGGAGAAACAATACACACCTCTCCCCTGTCATCTCCAGCACACTGTTTTGTATTGCCCTGCAGAGCATAGCAGAGCGATAAAAAGCAATGCGCTTGCACAGCACACAGTTAACCCTTTGATCACCCCGGCTTATTAGCACTGATCACTGTATTAGTGTAACCGGGGATGTCTGACAGTCACATTTGTAGACGCTATAACTATGTAAAAACCAGTTAATTTACACGTATTTTTCAGCAAAGACATATAGTAGAATACATTTTGGCCTACAATTATTTTTTGTTTTTACTGGATCGGTTTTAATAGCAAAAAGTCAAAAATAGTTTTTTTTCTCAAAGTTATCTTTTTTTTTTTTTTTGCTTACAGCGAAAATCAAATACCACCAAATACCAGCTCCATTTGTGGGGTAAAAAGGACATAAATTTCATTTGGGTGCAGTGTTGCATGACCACACAATTGTCAGTTAAATTAATGCAGCACCGTATTGCAAAAAATGGCCTGGTCAGGAAGCCCCCGCTCTCCTGGTTTGACAGCAGATGGTGGCTCTTCTCTTCCTGCTAGCTGTCTAAATAAAAAAACAAAAAAAAAACAGGGCTGTGTGGGGCTCTGCCCACCTGGCTGCATTACTCATTCACAGTATTGTGTGAATGAGAAACTACAAGTCCCGACAGAGTTAGCTGCGGTCGGCTTGTAGTTCTCAATTAACTACCATGGCACTGTATGGGCAAGCAGATATACTGACAGGTCTGCAGGCAGCGATTTACTGATCGTTGGTGCAATGCTTTACAGGCTCCTGACACAAAAAACAACAAATGCACATTTTTTTTTTTTTACCTGCAAAAAAAATAAATAAATGTGCATTTATTTTTTTAGCAAAAGATGAACTTATCCTTTTTAATGCTATTTTTTGCTACCGAATGTGGTTTATGTGGATGTAGTTCTTTAAATTTTTGTGCAAGGAACAATCGGTGAAAAAATCTTTAGAAATACTGTCAGGTGGCTACAAGAAACGTAAGGAGCATGTTACATTTGGCTGTAGGAAATGTATGGGGTGTGTGACAGTGTACCTCAAAGTGGAGTTCCGGCCGTTTAAAATTTTT